TGTAATGTCTAGATTACATTAAAATAGATGTCTGTAATGTCTATATAGATAACAGTTAACTAGAGGTCTGTAATGTCTAGATTACATTAAACTAGATGTCTGTAATGTCTATATAGATTACATTTAACTAGAGGTCTGTAATGTCTATAGATAACATTTAACTAGATGTCTGTAATGTCTAGATTACATTAAAATAGATGTCTGTAATGTCTGTAGGTAACAGTTAACTACAGGTCTGTAATGTCTAGATTACATTTAACTAGAGGTCTGTAATGTCTATAGATAACATTAAAGACTTCTAGTTAAATGTAATCTAGACATTACAGAACTGTAGTTAACTTTTACCTACAGACATTACAGACATCTATGTTAATGTAATCTAGACATTACAGACCTCTAGTTAAATGTAATCTATATAGACATTACAGACATCTAGTTAAATGTTATCTATAGACAATACAGACCTCTAGTTAAATGTAATGTCTATATAGATTACATTTAACTAGAGGTCTGTATTGTCTATAGATAACATTTAACTAGAAGACTGTAATGGCTATAGATAACATTTAACTAGAAGACTGTAATGGCTATAGATAACATTTAACTAGAAGACTGTAATGGCTATAGATAACATTTAACTAGAAGACTGTAATGGCTATAGATAACATTTAACTAGAAGTCTGTAATGTCTATAGATAACATTTAACTAGAAGTCTTTAATGTCTATAGATAACATTTAACTATAAGTCTTCAATGTCTATAGATAACATTTAACTAGATGTCTGTAATGCGCCCCCTGCTGCTACTTTGATAGAAACAGAGTTAAACGTCTAACCAAAATTAGTGAAGCAGAGGATATAGGTCACAGTGACCTACATTTGATATATTATTGTAGTAATCTACAAGTTGTATTCAAAAATAATGTTTGATTACTATTGGACTTCGGGTACTGGCCATAGGTCGGTGGGTTTTCTCCGGGAACTCAGGCTTTCCTCCGCCACCAAACCTGGCATGTTCTTAAATGACCAAAGCTGTTATACATAAACAAATCAAACTTCTAGTAATAGAGCTAAAGTTATAGAGAAATAAATGCAGTGTCTAACCAAGATATTGTACTGACTGAGAGAAAAGGCAAAACCTTCAATGCCTCGTCCCTCCACACGGTTGTGAGGAGCAATAAAAGGTCTCCAAACAAAAGAGTAAAGTCTGATTATAGCTTTGTCAAACACTTTATTCTGCTGTGTTGGATGGATGAATTCTGAGTAATATGTCACTTCACGTGACTACAACACAAGATTGAGAATGAATCTTACATGCTAAGCTGTTGACACTGATGTGGAATAAACATGACTTTCTATAAAACATACACAGGTCGCCAATAACGGATCATCATTTCACCTTGAAATGAACATAGGTCACCAACAACTTGTAGTCTACTGACCTTGAAGTTCATCGGTCCTCAAAAACTGACAGATACAAAACGTCCCTAGAACCAAATACAAGTCATTCTAAATTGATGGGTTTAAATTACTAGAACATCAACACATTGCCAAGTTTCCCCCCTAATTGAAAGGATGCTGGATTGGTCCTATGACAATTTTCATTTCTGAGACATTTCAATATCACAAGGTTAAAACAGTTAGTTGGTTCTAGAAAATTCTGTTTTTAAGTCAGGGAAGTTAATTTGTTTTTAATTCTTACCCATTGTTTCTTGGTACAATGGAATATACATGGAAAACATATTATGAATTGATCCTTTAAAATACCGAACAAGATCAGCAGACTCGAGATTTGGCGGCCTATCCAAAATCAAATAAAAACTCGAAGTAGCACCTACTGTTAAGATCTGCGTCGAGTTTATAGGAAGATTGACCAGGTCTGTGTTGTCAGCAGCTTTGTGCTCTATTTAAAATTTCATGTATTCCAGCAAAATATATAATTGCAAGACTCAATATACTGCTTCATAGAGTCCTGCTTGGCAGAAATCTTCAAAATGAACATAATCATCTCATCAGAAGTTTAATCTCAAAAATGTAAAACTCGACCAAATATGCTTCTCGCCTGCCGTTATCGGCTACACTGAGTATATAAAAGCAAGCTTTGCTCTGTACTAGATCTATTATTACCAAGATGTGAAGAATACACAAGTACAGAAGAAAAAAAACATTTCAGCAGAGTAGAGAAACCTGCATACAGTGACCCCAAAGGGACAAATCCGTCGTTATGGACAGGAAGTCACTAAAGCAGGTTTACCTGCACACAATTATAAATAACAATATATAGTGGATTTTACAAACTGTTAACATCTAAAAAATTATACATTTATTCTTCTGTATTCAACATCGATGAAGGAGAAGTCTTTTTTTTTTGACAAAGGGAGACAACTCCATACATTTGAATGTATGTAGCGATATAATAAATGAAAAAAAAAAAAAAAGCCTGATATATATTAGGATTGTTAACATACAAGTACATGGAATTAAATTGTCCTTATTTACAAAACGAAGCAACTTTGGCATTTATACGTTAATACAGGGACTTCATGGCGGAGAATATAGAGCAGAGGCTATTTATACAAATAAAACATACCTGGTACATAACATAGAAATTGAGGCATTTTATACAAATCATAATTTGCTATGTATGAGAATATCAGTTTCATACAGACAACATCTAGTAATCCTGTACATTAGCCGGTGTACCAACAGGGCAGTCGGCGTAATTACGATGGCATCAAAGGTGTTATTCAGAAACACCTCCCTAACGGGTAATAAAGATCAAGGTGAAAATCATAACTTATTTCAACACAGATTAAAATGAATGAATCAAGCATGAAATGAATACTGCAAATATGGCATCTTTTGTCGTTTAAATTCTCTTAAATACAACCCGACCTTTCCAGAAAGATCTGAAAGTCTTAATATACAAAATAACGCTACAATATTGTCAAAAATTGAGTGAAAATATATATATTTCCATCTATACAAAAGAAACATTATCCTCTTTCTATAAAATGGTCTCATTAATCCGAAGAAATATCAAGATCAAAGTGATAGAATTGACATTCAACTCATCAACCTTACATTACATGTAGAGAAGGTCTTACGAAAGGAAAAGATAACATGATTGGCAATTTATTTCAAGCTTTTGAACAAAACATTCCTTTTTGTCCAGCTTGATAATACAGAAGAATATGTTTAATGAAAAAGTTTGATGGTGATATTTTTTCTACTCCAAATATTTTCATGCTAATTTTTTTCACAATTCTTCAGATTTCTATTGAAAGATAATAATGGTTTTCTGAATGAAAAAAAATGAAATTGAATTAATATTGACTTGGTATGGAAAAGGAGAAATTTTGTATGACAATTGATTGACTTTGTAAGTAGACTTCATTTTATACACCGGAAATACATCACTAATTATAAGGCATCTGATCACTTCACAACCGTATACACAGATATATGTTAACAACACTCTGTTAATAGATGTAATTTAAGAAAGAAACTTCAAAATTTTGATTTTCAACATGCCATCTTTCTGCCACAATGTAATAAATATAATTTCCTAATTAGCATTTCATAGCATGAAAAAATATTTGTATATTTTTTTTTATCGTCATCTTTCTAGACTATTTATGTATTAGTCAAGACACAGATTTAAAGGTAAGTAGTACAAGCAAAATAAAATATGACAATTTCTGTATGTTTAGCATGTGGACCAGAAATTTTGGCAATCTATAAATCAAACTTGATCCCTTGGGTAAGCTTATTTCTCAAAGTGTTGGTCTGCAACTCTAGGTTGGGGAAAAAATTAGCTACCATTTCATGGTTACAACTATATGTTTGTGCATCTAAATTGGAACGCTGCATGTACTGATTCTTGAAAGTGTAAAATATAAATTGCACATATAAATATTTGAGAATGTGTACAAGAAATTGTACACTATGATTTAAACAATCCTAAAAGAAATTGTACAAGTTCATTCGTGAAACTAAAGAAGAATTGTGCATCTGTTTTGAGATTGTGCAAGACTTTCTAATACAACTGTAATCCTCTTTCTTGGAGTATTCAAAAGTGTATTTTTCGGTAAAAATTCCTGTATGAGAGAAAGTTTACATAAACCTCTACACAACAGTACCATGGTAAACCAAACCACGGCAACCAGATATATATATATATATACCATTCTCATTATAAATATGTGATAATTAAATATAAATATTGTCAATAATTGCAGCACTGCAGTTCTGGCACTGTTAATAATACATCCTAAAGTTTATCTGACTAGAAACAATATTACCATCATGCATCAAAATCTGTAACATCGAACATAAAAATACCACATATGACGGCAAAATCGACTATATGCATTTTACCACTGACTTCATACCACACAGCAGTAATTCTGCAGATTGCAGTGGTTCTGACGTAGAGTATGTTCCTCGAAATTTTTTCCAATGATCTATTTGAAGGATGAAGCATAATATATATATATAAAAAAACATCAATCATTGCAGTAAAAGATCACTTCATCTTTCAGCACTGAGTTTCAAGTGTTCCATTTATTTTTATTTTTTTGACAAGAGATATGCTACAGGACAACTTCAGATTTCCTCATTGTATCCAACAGGGTGAGAACTAGCTATCCTCTTCTCATTTGACACTGAACTTTCAAGACATTTCTTCACAATGATTTAAAATCAGAAAATGCAAGTTTTCATCAATATTTGACTTGAAAATGAATTTTGTTTCCCTTTTAAAAATTGGTAGGGTATTATTTGCTTACCTTGTAGATCGAAGCAACTATCCTAGTCTTTCAAATAAAACAAATAACCATTTCCTTTAGGTCTTAAATAAAGACTGTTATTCAAACTTTGAAAAAATGAGGATACTGGTAGTTGCACACCTGTTGAAGGGACATAACTCTTGTATGATCCTACTTGCATATATCCACCCAGTAACTTGGATGGTAGCACCAGTCTGAAATTTATATGCTATACATGTATTTATATATAATTATATCTTAAACTTTATGATTATATGTGTTGAATGGTTTATAATATGTTGGCAATATATATATATAATAATTATGTTTATATCCGGCAGTTGTTTAATTCATTAAGCAACAAAAATTTTGAAAAAATTAATCACATAAAAAATATGAATTTCTTTCAAGACCGAAATAACATTTTTTGAATGGAAAATTTCATGCTAAGTAATTATTTTGATTAATGAAGAATTTTGGTAGTATATATAAAGTTTCATCGCTATGGTTACATAATATGGTTATACCTGCTCGTGTGGAATCAGAAATAATCACCTGTTCTATTGAATACACACCTACTAACATGTTTACCACTATATATCACTTTCCAGATGAGATTCTAGGATATAAATAACATTTTGTCACAGCCAAGCAATTAACACTTGTAATTCATTTCTCCAATATCAATAAACATAAAATTACATCCTTTGTTTATGTTTCCCTCCCACCTCTATGCATGCAAGATACATTTATTCCATATGGAACATGTTTATCTACTGTCTGAGAAGTATATATATTCCTAAATCCTGAATCACATAAAAATATATTGTTGAGTTTAAGATTGTCAGTACCATATCAGCTGATGTTCTGAACCGTGACGACATTTCAACATCACTGATTTGTCATTTTGGTCAGCAGAAAAATGTCTGTTGCCAATTAGTTAGCGATCGACATATCAAGCTGTTGCATACTGCTTTAGTTTTCAAGTGTACTATGCTTTACCCCACTCTTTCCAAATATGTTCTTGGTTACTGCCAAACTTACAGGTAAGAGGTGGGAGAAAAGAGTCACTTATTATGTAGGTATAGGGGACAGGGCTCAGAACATCAGCACGCCTCAGTTTTAACCCTAATTCTATTCCCTCAAGCAAAATTTCTAAATTCCTCATACCTACATACGAAAGACTCATCAAAGAATTTTTGAATCTTTAGCAGTAAACAGTAGAATTATTTAAAGTCTGATATGATTGTCAGGGAAAACTGACACCGATATTTCCTGATTTGATCAGTAAGTACTCTTTTACCAAAGTTTGTACTGGGATTAAATATTTCACATTTTTTTTTATACTTTTAAACATGATAAAATTATTCTGAGAACATTTTGGATAAAATATCTTGAAATTTCAAACTAAAAATACATTTTACAAATAAAAACAAAATTCAGGGCGGTTGCCAATGAAGCTTCGCTAAGATTAAGGATGGGTACTGCTTACTGCAAATCAACAGGTTAATTTTTGGGAAGAAGAAAGGGTTTTCTACCTTGGTGTGGGAACAAGTAAGGTCATTACCTCCCTTGGTGTGGGAACAAGTAAGGTAATTACCTCCCTTGGTGTGGGAAGGGATACGGATGTCTCCCCCATCACACATAACTATACAAAAACATTAATTATAGTCACAAAATGACAAAACTTCATGAATTACACAAATTTCATTATAACCATGATATCTCATTTTTAAACGAGTCTTACAGGTCAAAGTTACCATACAAACTAACAATTAACTTTGGCCGGTAGCATATAATAATATAATATATAGTCAAATTCCATCATTCTAAGCATAGCATTCTTCCTGGCCACATCAAGGAAATCCAGAAGTACTGCATTGTTCTGTATATCAAGCAGCTGACTTATCTGTAATGTTGAAATATTTCAATATTACACTCAAAGTTACAGGATATCTAGTGGTGGAGGATTAGTGAAGTAATCGTCCTGTCACACCCGTGTTGTTGGTGTTGTGACCCGACCATGGCATTCCAGGATAACACAGGTGAGAATTTCTGTGTCACTTCAATCATACAATACCTCCATTATAACACAATTGTTGTATTTCTAGATTGGTACATCTTTTGTCTCTATTTATCCTACCTGTAAAACACAATAAAGATGTTCGACACACCTTTGATTCATTTGCCACGTTCTGTCACCTTCACAATACTATCCCAATTACAGCACATTTGATGTCAATCTGGCATACTATTCCGATGACGGCATACCTATATTTCATCATTCTGATTATGACATACCTGTATTCCACTAGCCCGATTATGACAACAGAATACCTGTATACCAATATTCAAAGTCCGGTATACAGAACTGCCATCACTTAAAGCACTATCATACACAAATAATCCTAAATGATGTAGCTCATTTTCGAAATCTACATCAGGTACGAAGATTCTGTTGAGTCAGAATTAACACATCATTCCAGGTGTAAATTCCCTAGCACATGGATATCACACTTTACGAGTACATTCACAGGTAAACCAGCCCCACAGGCAGAACACTAAATCTCGTTGTACTCAGTCCGCGTGTCTGGAATGTAGGTGTTCTGTGGGCCGTACTTGTTACTACTGTCTGTTAGTGGGAGCACTGCTGGACCGTTATTTTGAGAGCCGCCCTGTGGTATCGCTGTTTGTGGGTGTGGCATTGTGTTGGGTTTGTAGGGTTGGCCGGAGCCCTGCGACCCTGAACTGTTGGATGCCTTAGAACTAGCCACGGACCCCGGCGGAGATAGCTTAGAAATCCCGTTCGGAAGCTGGTTAGGGGGGCTGTTGAACTGTGCTAAGAGTTTCTGGTTCATAACCTGGCCGTGTTGGGGACCCATCATGAGTGGATGTTGTGGCATCTGTACCTGGTTAGCCAGGTAGTGAGGGGGGAGGGCATGGTAACTAGGAGGCATCATGCCCAGTGGCGGAGCTGGGGACATGCAATGGCTGGACTGAGAGGGGTCTGACCCTCCACTGGATCCTGTCAGCCCTGTTATGGCCGTGGTGTTGCTAGGACCAGTACTTCCTTGGTGACTGGGACCACTTTGGGAACTCTGATGACTACTGGAGTGGGCTGAGTGGCTCTGACTCAAGCTCCAGTGAGGGTTCTGCATCATGATCTCTGTCTTCCATGCTTTCAGCCGTGCATGTATTTCCCTAAAGAGGGGTCGGCGAGCTGGAGTCTCATGCCAGCATTCTACCATGAGACCATATATGCGTGTTGGACAGTCCTCAGGGCATGGAAGAATCTGGCGTTTTCTTACGACCTCGATAACCTCCTGGTTTGAGAATCCATAGTAGGGCTGTAATCCATAGCTAAAGATTTCCCACATCACGATTCCAAATGACCACACATCACTCTCTGTAGTAAACTTTCCATACAGAATCGATTCTGGTGGCATCCAGCGGACAGGTAGCAGAGACTTACTCTGAACCCTGTAGTAATCTGACGAGTAGATGTCCCGAGAAAGTCCAAAATCAGATATCTTCACACTCAAGTTGTCTCCAACAAGTACGTTTCTTGCTGCCAGATCCCGATGTACAAAATGATGGCTGGCCAGGTACTCCATGCCAGCTGCCACTTGAGTGGCGATATGTAACATGTCCGGGTATTCCAGCATTGGTTTATGGGCACAATCATCGTCTGCCACTGACACATCAGAGTTTGGTGAGCGACAAATTAGAAATTCGTGAAGGTCTCCATGAGGCATGAACTCAAATAACATACACATTGGTTCCTGTTTCATGCACACCCCCAGTAAACACACAATATTGGGGTGTCGCATCTCAGTCATCAAGTCGACTTCTCGACGGAAATCATTCTTCATCTTTGGAGTTGCATTTTCTTTCAAAGTCTTTACAGCAACCTTTGACACAGTATTTTCAGCATACAGACCAAGTAGGTCTCCTTTGTAAACCTTCCCAAAAGCTCCCTCTCCAAGCTCCTGCATGAATCTGATTGACGACAGCGGAAACTCACGTATACGAGTACCAGATTTTGCTGTGAGTGGATGAGACTCGCTGTTGTTTTGTGGTGCCTGCCGGCCATTTTTCAAGCCTGCACCTTTTTGTTTTCGATGTCGCTGGAATAGACAAACGATAGCGAGGAGGAGAACAAGTGCCAAGGGAACGATAATCCCGGGGACCAGTATAAACATGAGTTTGTCTACCGGCTCGCCAGCTGTGGAATGAAAAATAACAGGTTAGTCATATTACACACAGCTTCATAAACAAATTAGCAATGGTAACCATGCCAACATATCATATCCTAGCAGACATATTTTTATTCACAACAAATCATTCTACTATTCATTGTACTTCAGTTATTTTTTTAGAAATATCACACATCCAGAAATTAGGTTAACATTTTTTTGTAAATGGATAATTTCTTAAACAAAAGTTTCACAATTCATATTATCATATTTTACCAATGATAGGTCGAGGAGGCCTGTGCAAAATGAGTCAAAAGTGGGGAGTGGACTTGTTACCGGAAGTATGCCTTTTATTTTATTGTATGTCCATTTATAAGTATAATTCATGGGAATGGACGGATACTAACTTTGATAGGAGGTACACTTGGGAATGTCACAGAGCTCACTGTGGTGGTAGTAGGGGTCTGTGAAACACCAGGGGCCAGTAAACGTGCCATTAGGGTTCCGGCAAAAGTTGTGATTTCCTGTAAATTAAAATGAACGAAATTTGATATTGCCTACAAAACATGCATCCCTTATCACACCTATATTACTAAAGTTTTAAGGGAAATTTTCTAATCCAGTCAAGGAGTTCTTCATGAATTTAAAATTCTGTAAATACCATTCAGACACTTTTAAAAAGATAGAAGTAGTTCAACTGTTACCACATTGAACCTTTAAATCAAAAAGAAATTCTGAAGATTTAATGTACTTTAATGTACCTTGTTTGGAAAATACAAGAAACACGAATCTTGCTTTGTAAGTTTTCAAGTCTTAAGCCTTTATTTTATTTAGATTACAAAAGTATATACTTCATAACATATTAAAGAATGAAAACTGAAATCTTTCCACTATTAATGTCAGGTACCTACCAAGTTCTTTGTTGTCTTTAGACTTGAAGCTCGGGTTGTGTAACCAGTTTTGACAGGTTCGGCCTGAACGCGTCCTGTTGACCTGGCCGCGATAGTTCTCGCCACTTCCGTTATAGCAATTCATCTCTACAATATCATTTTTTGTTTTTTTGGGGTTATTTTTGGCATTGAAAATATATATATAAATCTTATATATCATAATGTACTAGAAATACAATATCATGTTATAATTTAAGTAATATATCATAATGTACTAAAAATATAATATCATGTTATAAGTTAGTTACATGTATATATACATTATCATAATGCACTAGAAATACAATATCATGTTATAACTCAAGTTAAATATCATAATGTACTAGAAATACAATATCATGTTATAACTTAAGTTACATGTATACATCATAATGTACTAGAAATACAATATCGAGTCACAATATAAGTAATACCTCATAATGTACTAGAAATACAATATCATGTTATAAGTTAAGTTACATGTATACATCATAATGTACTAGAAATACAATATCGAGTCACAATATAAGTAATACCTTATAATGTACTAGAAATACAATGTCGAGTCACAATATAAGTAATACCTTATAATGTACTAGAAATACAATATCACGTTATAAGTTAAGTTACATATATATATCCTAATGCGCTAGAAATACAACATCATGTTACAATATAAGTAAAACATCATAATGTACTAGACATACAATATCATGTTATAACTCAAGTTAAATATCATAATGTACTAGTAATACAATATCATGTTATAACTCAAGTAATATATCATAATGTACTAGAAAAACAATATCATTTTTTTTGTTTTCATTACGTAGTAAACTCGTTATATTGTATAAAAACAGCGTTTTCATTTTGTAGTAAACAAGCAATATTGTATAATAACGTGTTTTTTGTTTTTTTTAAATCTTATTTTTTTTTTATGAACCATTAATCGCCATAATTTAAGCATATTATATATAGTGTATTGATTCACATTTAAAACGAAAAGGAAGTTAATAAAAGTAAATAATCAAAATAAAAGATTCAATCCGGAAACTAAAAGGTCCCGTGTTTACGTTTGTTTTTATCCTTATATACTGTACAATCATGGCGGTGTCTCCATGTGTTCGGAATTTGGTGGGGTGTGTGGATGTTTATACGCGTTCCCGTTGTATTTTGTGGATATACATTGAAGGGTATAGGTAAGTAATATCAAAGTGTTGTAATATTTGTTTACGTTCTCGCGATATGTTGTTGCATTGTTGTGTGGGGTAGGTTTCTTATTGATGTAGCACCCACGTGTTCCACCTTCAGGGTATCATAAAAGGAAAATAAGTAGCATGATTTACTATTTTAGTTGTATCAAATCGATTATCTAACTATCTCTGCAATATCATCAAGTACAATCAAATTAATAATGAATAAGTTTCTTTAAACTCATTAAGAAGAAAACCTAACTTGAGGAGATATGCTACCTTACTCTAACACATATCTTCTTTCTAAAAGAGCTCCACTCTAAAAATGATCACTTATGTTATGATGGATAACTTATAAACATTTTTATGTCAAAGTTGTCAAAGGGTGATGGTTTCAATCAAAGTTTTAAAGGGAGATAATTCTTCGCACGAATCAAAGTTTTGAAGGGAGATAATTCTTCACACAAATCTAAGCTTTGAAGGGAGATAATTCTTCACACAAATCAAAGTTTTGAAAGGAGATTATTCTTCACACAAATCAAAGCTTTGAAGGGAGATAATTCTTCACACAAATCAAAGTTTTGAAGGGAGATAATTCTTCACACAAATCAAAGACGGCAAACTGGCAGTTGACTTACTAGTACAAAACGAAGCATTAAAACAATGTTTTTTTACCATATGCATTGCAATCATTGCTTATTACATTAAAACTAATTCCCAAAGAAGGTTTGTTCCTTTTCTGTTCAATATGCCATTCTTTAAGAAAATTTGTTTTGGTTTTATGTCTTTCCACTATTATTTTGCAACAAAACATAACCCCTGCACTAATCAATCTATTAAAACCTGAGAATGAAGTGTCAAGCTGTCCAGTCTGACACAGCTAGTACTTACTGGGTGGAGTTTTGGTGACGCCAATGCGTACACATCCGTCACCCTCTTGAGTGCCAGGGGGAGCTAACTCATAACACTTGGGTAAAAACTTGTCACCTGTAAAATAAAGATGTATTTATCAGTTTTCATTATATGAACTACATAATATGACTCCTTTTATATATATGAACTTTATATCGTGATGTACATATACTTATATTGAGACATGACCTCTGGTCGACATGGACTTCCCAGCATGACCTTTGACATACATATAATTATTCAGGATATAACCTCTGATCTGTTTGCACCAATTCTAGAAAATGACCTCAGATCTAAGGCACTTATTCATGGATCTGACCTACAGATACTTATTCCTGACATAACCTTTGACATACACATACGTAATCCAGGACCTGCGACCTACCAATGCGTGGGTGATGTTTGCCGATGACATACTCCTTTTGACAAATGTTACTCTTCAGCATCTCACACTCGTCACGACACACTTGACGTGGTTTTGGATTGGTTGGGTGGTTGTCACACAGGGGAAACGTGTGATAGCAGAGAAATGGGATAGCATAGTCTTGACATTCCTTACTCATGGTATTGGATGCCTGAATTGTTGTAAAGGCCGCTACAAAAACAAAGGGTGTACAAGATAAAGTAAAGAAAAACAAAGGGTGTACAAGCTAAAGTAAATTACAATGAAGAATACTAGGCTCTCAATTAAGGTGTTAAATTAATTAAAAGGCAAAGAACTTTAATTATCACAAGAGTTTATATGATCTGGCAGATCAAGTCAGTAAAGGGAAAATTTTAAAAAACATCGTTATTCAGTATTAATGTTTTTCTACTGTCAAAGCATTTGATCAAGTAACATCATGGTAGGAACCAGGGGTTCAGCCTCATACTCGTCCCTGGTGTAGCCAACTGTTCTTTATTTGGGAATCAAGGTTCTGTTGTAATGGCCATTAATGATGATTAATGTACTCTTTTTAAATCAAGCTGTCTTCATTCCAGGAGCTCTTAGAATACAATCAAGCTATTCACTTACCGAGGAAATTTTCCTCCTTGATGCCTTGTGAGTACTCAGAAGTAACGTAGATTGTCCTGTTTTGAAGGAAGCGGGAACAAGTTGTACCTCGGAAAACTTGGCAGAAACCATCACCTTCTTCCTGAGACTTGCGTTCCTCCTCCTTATATCTGTAATACACAACATGTCACATCAACTCCAAATACACCTCACCATTCATCATATCAACTCCAAATACACTTAACCAAACATTGTATCAACTCTAAATACACTTAACGGTAACAAAACATTGTATCAACTCTAAGCACACTTAACCAAACATTATATCAACTCTAAACACACTTCACAAAACATTGTATCAACTCCAGATACACTTCACCATTCATTACATCAACTCCAAATACACTAAACCATTCATTACATCAACTTCAGATACACTTCACCATTCATTTTATCAACTCCAGATACACTTCACCATTCATTACATCAACTCCAAATGCACTTAACCATTCATTACATCAACTCCAGATACACTTCACCATTCATTTTATCAACTCCAGATACACTTAACCATTCATTATATCAACTCAAAATACACGTCACCATTCATTATATCAACTACTTCACCATTCATTACATCAACTCCAGATACACTTCACCATTCATTTTATCAACTCCAAATACACTTCAACATTCATTATATCAACTCCAGATACACTTAACCATTCATTATATCAACTCAAAATACACTTCACCATTCATTATATCAACTCCAAATACACTTCACCATTCATTATATCAACTCCAAATACACTTCATCATTCATTATATCAACTCCAAATACACGTCACCATTCATTACATCAACTCCAAATACACTTCCCCATTCATTACATCAACTCCAAATACACTTCCCCATTCATTACATCAACTCCAAATACACTTCGCCATTCATTACATCAACTCCAGATACACTTCACCATTCATTACATCAACTTCAAATACACTTCACCATTCATCATATCAACTCCAGATACATTTCACCATTCATTTTATCAACTCCAAATACAATTCAACATTCATTATATCAACTCCAGATACACTTCCCCATTCATTATATCAACTCCAGATACACTTCCCCATTCATTATATCAACTCCAGATACACTTAACCATTCATTATATCAACTCCAAATACCCTTCACCATTCATTACATCAACTCCAAATACACTTCCCCATTCATTACATCAACTCCAAATACACTTCACCATTCATTACATCAACTCCAAATCAACTTCACCATTCATTATATCAACTCCAAATACACTTCAC